CTCGCTCAAGCTCGGCTCGTTTACAGCCCTAATTTGAGCGAGAATTTTAAAAATAAATGAAAGAGAATGGCTGGTCTATAAATAGCAAGTTCCAGGTGATCTTAATGTAATTGCCCCAAAATAAAAATAAATAAATAAAAATGATCGGCTAAAATCTATTTATCTAAACAAATCATATTTATTTATATAACTACTTAGAATGACATTGGGAAAATATCATTAAAACAGATATTTCCACACATTTTCATATCTTAGATACTAAGATCTTATAGAAAGGAATGCAAATCTCTCTCTCTCAAACAAAGCCCGTCCTAATACAAATTACATCATAATATTCGATGCAATTTTTCTTTTTACGCTCAAATTCCAGCGCATCCCGGCCCGGCCACCCTCCAATTCACCATCACAACGATCGCGGCATAGTGCATCAAAGCTCCCAAAAGCACAAACACATGGAAGATCTGATGACTATGCCCTGCAATATCAAAAAGCCCCGGCCGCCACCGCTCCGGCACCCTACTAACGTATACCACCGCTCCGACCGCGTAGGCGGCGGCCATGGTGAGTTCTAATACGATAGAGATGTGGGCGGCGCCGTGTTCCCAGTTAATGGCGAGCGCGTGGGCGGCGGGGATGAGCCCGGAGAAGCCCATGGCGAGGAAGAGAGCGGCGCGAAAGGGGCGGAAGCCGGGGGAAGAGAAAACGGGGAAAAGTAGAGTGATGATGGCGAGGGAGCCGAGGGTTGTGATGGAAGAGAGGTAGATGAGGCGAGGGAGAGGGTGGCAGAGGAAGGCGTAGTAGATTGCGGGAAAGAAGGAGGAGATGATCATGATGGAGATGCCGGCGTAGTCGAGGCGCCAGAAGAAGAGGTTGAGGCGGCGGGAATGGCAGGCGAGGAGGTGGGAGGTGGCACTGAAGGCGAGACACGACATGGAGCCAGCAAGGAAGATGAGGATTGGCCAACCGGGAACCTGGTGGCTTATGGAGGAATCCTGCAGTGAAAGAAGATTGAGAAAAATAGAGATTATAAATTTATAAAATTAAAGAGTAATGTTTTGATTAGGATATAATATAATTC